ACGCTAGGGCTGTCGCGGAGACTGTCTGCCGTGCAGGCGTTCATTGGCAGCCTGTCTTCTCTCTGTGTTACCCAACGAGGCCTCTCTAGCCTCCTTCAGATGGTCTAATGCCACCTGCATGGGGGCAGGTACCGCCGATGACCTCCCGTTTACTTGCACGCCCAACCTGACCAGGACTGGGGCCTCTGGTTCCCGACCGTACATTAAGTAGAATGGTGAATACCCCGTCGAGGCGTGTGGGGCCAACCTGTAAGCGGCTAGGGCCGCCGAAACATATAGGTCCCAATCAGTTTGTGCTGAATTAACCTGCTGGCACAATATAGACGTCAGCATCCTATGCAGGCGCTTGACCATCTTGTCGGTTTGCGGGTGGTACGTTCAAATCTTTTTTGTACCCAATGAGTCACACACTTCTTTTAGTAGACAGGAGGAAAATTTCTTGCCCTGATCGGTGAGCAGGTGCTCTGGGGCGCCCTTATCGAGGACATATCCTTGCAGGAAGGCCTCGGCGATCGACCCCACCGATTGGTCCACCAGCCGCCATGCCATAGGCCACCGGTGTGAGGTACTCGACACCCACCAGCAAATATTTGTGACCTCGCGGGGTGACGGGGAATGGGCCCAAAATATCCAGGGCGACAATTTCGTTTACGCTGGAGACACGTATCGATTGTAACGGTACCCGATATGGTTGCGCCGGCGCCTTTCTCCGCACGTGCTCATGGCAGGCCTTAACGAACAGGTGAACGTCGTTTTGCATACCCGGCCAGTAAAAATCATTACACAAGGTCAGCGCGGTTTTCTTCTCCCCCAAATGCATCAGCTTCTCGTGCGTATCACGAATGAGCTTGCCCCTCAAGCATAACGGAACCACAATACCAAATGTCTGCAACACGACATCCCACCGCACGAGGAGATCGTCGACGAGCCGAAGGAAGGGGCAATCCTCCGACCCTTTAGAGCGGGAGCCCCAAAGCCTCATTCTGGACAATGAAGAATCGTTCACTTGTAGGCGTGTCCAACAAGCCAGCGACAACCCCAGTAAGCCGGACCCCTCGGTGGAGACCCCACCAGCTGGGCCTGAATCGGCTGCAGCGGCCATTGCCGGAATGCCCTGCAGCGGCAGACTGCAGCGCAGCGAACCTTCAGTACATCTGCACGAGCCTGACGGCTGAGGCAATCGCGATAAAGCGTCAGCGTTGAAATGACGCATCCCTTTCTCTGTTGGACCGTAAAGGCGCGTCTGCTAAAGCGTCCCGAAGTGTCTCAAACGAACGCTGTTCCTCGTCACCCCAGAGGAACTTTTTACCCTTGGACATTTTGTACGTTTTCCCACTGACAAAGAAATGATCAGTCTATAATTTAATGGTAGGTTTTTTGAACAGTGAGAGATAGAATAACAACAACAAAATCCAGAAAAACGCATGTAAAAAATGTTATAAATTGATTTGCATTTTAATGAGGGAAATAAGTATTTGACCCCTCTGCAACACATGACTTAGTACTTGGTGGCAAAACCCTTGTTGGCAATCACAGAGGTCAGACGTTTCTTGTAGTTGGCCACCAGGTTGGCACACATCTCAGGAGGGATTTTGTCCCACTCCTCTTTGCAGATCTTCTCCAAGTCATTAAGGTTTCGAGGCTGACGTTTGGTAACTCGAACCTTCAGCTCTCTCCACATATTTTCTATGGGATTAAGGTCTGGAGACTGGCTAGGCCACTCCAGGACCTTAATGTGCTTCTTCTTGAGCCACTCCTTTGTTGCCTTGGACGTGTGTTTTGGGTCATTGTCATGCTGGAATACCCATCCACGACCGATTTTCAATGCCCTGGCTGAGGGAAGGAGGTTCTCACCCAAGATTTGACGGTACATGGCCCCGTCCATCGTCCCTTTGATGCGGTGAAGTTGTCCTGTCCCCTTTGCAGAAAAACACCCCCAAAGCATAATGTTTCCACCTCCATGTTTGACGGTGGGGATGGTGTTCTTGGGGTCATCGGCAGCATTCCTCCTCCTCCAAACACGGCGAGTTGAGTTGATGCCAAAAAGCTCCATTTTGGTCTCATCTGACCACAACACTTTCACCCAGTTGTCCTGAATCATTCAGATGTTCATTGGCAAACTTCAGACGGACATGTATATGTGCTTTCTTGAGCAGGGGGACCTTGCGGGCGCTGCAGGATTTCAGTCCTTCACAGCGTAGTGTGTTACCAACTGTTTTCTTGGTGACTATGGTCCCAGCTGCCTTAAGATCATTGACAAGATCCTCCCGTGTAGTTCTGGGCTGATTCCTCACCCTTCTCATGATCATTGCAACTCCACGAGGTGAGATCTTGCATGGAGCCCCAGGCCGAGGGAGATTGACAGTTCTTTTGTGTTCTTCCATTTGCGAATAATCGCACCAACTGTTGTCACCTTCTAACCAAGCTGCTTGGCGATGGTCTTGTAGCCCATTCCAGCATTGTGTAGATCTACAATCTTGTCCCTGACATCCTTGGAGAGCTCTTTTGTCTTGGCCATGGTGGAGAGTTTGGAATCTGATTGATTGATTGCTTCTGTGAACAGGTGTATTTTATACAGGTAACAATCTGAGATTAGGAGCACTCTTTTTAAAAGTGTGCTCCTAATCTCAGCTCGTTACCTGTATAAAAGCCACCTGGGAGCCAGAAATCTTTCTGATTGAGAGGGGGTCAAATATTTGACATGCGTTTTTCTGGATGTTGTTGTTATTCTGTCTCTCACTGTTCAAATAAACCTACCATTAAAATTATAGACTGATCATTTCTTTATCATTGGGCAAACGTACAAAATCAGCAGGGGATCAAATACTTTTTTCCCTCACTGTATTATATATTTATCTGTTATAATTCAATGTGATTTACATATTATGTCAGTTTTTGGAATATGAGCACGTCTATTATGTGGACACACAGTCATGCCCTGGTGTGTTCTCACGTTTGCCGTCTAGGTATATAAGATCATATCCAGAAAGAGAAGCCTCCGGCCGTTGCAGGTGACTTGGGTGGGTGATGAGTCCACGTGAAACGCCTCCATCACTATCAGCGACATCCAGACCCACGACGCTGGACGATATCGATGTGAGGTCACGATTTATCGACACGACAAGCCAAGCATGCAAGACATCGGGTATCTGCAGCTGAACGTTCACAATGAACCAGGTTTGCATTATGTCATCCCTTGATCTATTTAATACCCACCGTTTTATTATTCTCTCTAAGCGAGAATGCTAATTCTCTTCATTGTCCAGATTTAACACGAAAATTTACTCTGTGGCACAGCCATAAAGGGTCTTTGTTATTTCTCACAGATATCATATCCTGTAGTATAAGAAACTCGACTATTTACTGAGTTGTCTACAGGATCCAATGGTAGCTTGAGTTCTTGTCTCTCTCTGTCTGTGTCCCATGAGATTGTTCTCCACTTGTGGGATGTGGAATGCTTTGATGTCTGAAAAAAGAGCTTCTTAGCTCAAAGGGGAATAAGTTTCTGATTCAGATTCACTTCAAGTGCAGATGCAGGCGCTGCAAGGCGATTTACGGCCTCAACAGAAAACCGGTACAGCGATGATAGTCCTCTCCTGCTGGCTGTCCATGACTCCATTTGGAGTTATTGCCTACTGCCGAAGTTGGCCCCAAAACTCATCAAATGCTGTTCTACCGTTCACTAATGAACACGATACTCAGCTACCGTGCGTTGAGGGTGAACACCTCGCCGGTGAACACAGCCGCAAGATAATCATGAACAATGGCCTCCATCTCGGCTCAGTTATTATAGCATCGTCACTATTTAACATTCACAGGCAGGCCTCGCCGGATGCTGGGGGTTACGTTCCTAGAAAATGACGTGTTAGGCAGAACCGCGTTCGACAGATAATATACATTGTGGGAAAACTTGGGTTGCCTTCTTGGGCCCTAAATGTTCACCCCTCCCTCTGTGTTACTAATTCTACAAGATTTCTGCCCTTGTTTTTGTACTAAAGGATGCTGAGTCACTCTCCATGTCTTGCGTGTGTACATTCCTTAACATGAAACCCCCGACTCATCTCTGCACCGCAGAACTCGCGCCCAATGTTCTCCAATGCTCTCACCTAACAATGAATTTCCAGCCCCACGCTTGCCCCCAACTCTGTCGCCGATTCGCCATCTAGGCGGCCATCTAAATTCCTCAATGAATGGACGGTGAGATGCTTGCGGCACTGTGTGAACATTCCCATTGCATCGCTGTGCATGTCGAGTGTGTTACTTTGTCACAGAAACGACTCTCAAAAACACACACAAACTAAAAGATGCAATGGTAATTAAATGGTTCTTACAGTGGATTAATTCACACCTTGCAATGGATGCAGCACCCTCACGACAGTACTTTTCGGCAAGGAGATGAGAGTCTCAGCAGCGTAAGGCCGAAACATCACCCCCGTGTTCCGGAAAACAGTCCTCATTAGGTGTATCGTGTAGAGCCAGAATGCGCGTTCAATAAAGCCACAGCGCATCTGCTCCTCCTGAAAAGCAGGAGGAGCAGACGCTGTGCAGCACAGAAACGAGGATGGTGCTATGGATCTCAGCGATCACAGGACTGGATTGGTCAGAACTGAAAAGCCGGGGAAGGAGGCGGGAGTGGCGGTGCTCATCTCACTCGAGCGGAGAAAGGGATTCGGCTCACACGGCTGGGGCTGGCTTAGTAAAAGAAGGTGCAATGAACGTGGAGGTACCAAGGTGCAGACAAAGGGGCAGGCCGAGAGCGAGGCGAGTAGAAGTTGCGAACGCGGCGGATTCGAGTGACTGGGGAGTAGACGCGGAGGTGCCCCAAGGCAGCAACGAGCAGAGCAGGAGGAGCTGCAGGGCAGAGACCGCACGCGAGGAGGGGGACATGGCAGGAAGAGGAATAAGACGTTGACTGTGTCCATCTCTTGGGTGTTCACGTGTTTCCGTGTCGTCTGCGTTTGTGTTTAATAGAATCGACAGACGCAGCACTCACGCCAAGCCCAGCTTCTCCTCCAGCTTCATCACCTGTAGCTGGCATCATGGTTGGAGTCATTGCTGCTCTGGTTGTTGGTGCTGGAGTTGTTTTACACTGCTGGAAGAAGAGACAAAGTCAGCCAAGAGAATCAGAAGCCACGTGAGTATCGACCGTACTTGCACCAGAACCTCACAGTGAGTGATAGAACACGGCTCATAATGGCCACGCCAGAGACCCTGAGCAGGCCCTCTCCAAGCACCTGAGTTTGACTCTGTAAGGGCTGCTGGCCGCCGATTACTCTCCCCCTTCCTCCTCCTCTTCTTCTTCCCTTATTGCTGCTGCCGTTTCCCCCCTGCGAAGCATAACGCCTGGCTGGCCCTGGGCCACCTTGGGTCATTCACACCCACTCTCTACGTGCATTCCCTCAAACATTAGTAGGAGACTCCTTGGCACACCACAGCCCTCACACATATACGCACCGCCGCTCAAACGCAACGTCTCTGCTCTCACCACCCCGCGCACCAATCAGAGGTCAGAGGGCAGTGACGTCGCTCGCATACGCGCGGCTGTCGTGGGCAGGTAATAGCGCTCGTTTAAAGGGCCGTGGGGGCGGGTGTTCGTGGTGGGTGTGAGCCCGCTCGCAGCACGGGTGTCCTCAAGCCACAGAACGAAGCGTGCATCCACGGAAGCACCGACCACACACGTTACGGCGAGCGCACACACACACACCACCACGCACTTTTCTCGCGCTCATAAAAATCACACGAGGCTGTTTATCGATCGCTTACTTATTATTACCGGCGCGTCTGCGAGATATTCTCACCCGGATCAGCATGGGTCAGCAGGGCAGGTCTAGGTTAGCCCCCGGCCGTCTAAACCCGATTTCCCACGCCTCCTTGAAATTAGACCTCCTTCCAATTTTACTCTAAATTCCCACTCTCTCTCACGTACTCACGGTTCACCTCGGATGTATGGGGAGCCGCGGAGGGGTGAGATTGAATGGAGTCCTCCTGGGGCTTGGCTGCGCTGACACACGTCTAACGGGCATTCCAGTGGCCAGCTAGGTGACTACCCTGATCTCCACTCGAGCAGAAGAGACCCTCTTTCACTCTCCATGCCCCTTTTATTGTCCTCCACATCAAAGATAATTCGGCGCCGACCCGCTGGCCAATCAGATTGCTGGGATTTCCCGCCGTTGCTTTTCAGCTGCATCCGTGTCCCGGTTTGCTGCCGAGCGCCCGACCAATCAGAGGGACGGCCCCATTTTCCCGCCGTTCGTGGCTCCGCCTCCCTACCTGCCTGCTGACCCATGTGTGTTTTCTATCCACGGTGGCTGCACAGCCTCGCCTTGATCGTGCATTTCCACGTTAATTCACGGCGCCGCAGTGTAATTCAGCCTGGGGAAAGCCTCAGTCAATTCCCTGGCCTCAGGGAAAACCGTGGAGAATGTTCACCCCCTATGAGGGAGGCTCCTGGGTGAAAACCTGTGGGCCAGGCGACTTCCCCGCGAGGCTCTATGTGGGTGTGTGTTTGTGTGGGGGGTTGGTGAGGGTGAAAGGGTGAAGCAGCGTCAGCCCCGTCGCTTGGTGGCGGCGGGGTCGTAGGTGGGGCGCCCGCAGAGCGGCTTCACGGCTGCGGCATCACAACTCCAACCCCCTGCCTGCCCGTGACTCAGAGTTGTGCTCCGTGGAGCCTGCGTGAGCTCTTGGCAGCTGGGACCCCTGAGTTAAACTCCCAGCCGTGGCTGCTGTCAGTGGCAAGGGCTCCATATGAGTGGGAGTGGTGACGTGAGACTGAGTCAGTCATAGGAGATCGTGAATCGCAATGGGCTCTCACGTAGTTAAATAAAATAGATCAATCACAAGAGACAATTATCTCAATGGGTTTTCACGTGGTTAAATAAAGGATGTCTTTCAAATCAGGGTCAGTGATTGCTGTGGTCAGTGGTTCCATGCGGGTGCCAGGCAGGTGTGAGCCCTGGGTTAGACTCGCAGCTGTGCGAGTGACACAATCTGCATGTGGACGAGGGTGGTGATGTGTGATCGACGCCTGTCCACTCCTCTCTCAACAGGGCTCGTGAACAGGAGCAATTGATTGCAGTTGGATAAGATGTAGGAGGAAGATCAGGTGAGAGCGAGAGAGGCTTGAAGCAGGAGCCACTCTTGTCAGGGTCATTCTTCCTGTGTGTGTGTTTGTGTGCGCACTGCGCTAAGAACCAGCGACCTGGGTTCAATTCCCTAACTTCGGTGCATTGTGTAAACGCCAGCACTGCTGAGACGAAGGCGGCCGGGCATGGTGCTGGCCACATCACCCTCTCGAGGTGTTACTCGCTAACAGCGATCACAGGACTGGATCGGTCAGAACTGAAGAGATGGGGCAGGAGGCAGGAGTGGTGGTGCTCATCTCACTCGAGCGGAGAGAGGGAGTTGGCTGGGGCTGGCTTAGTAAAAGAGGGGGCAACTGCAAGGGCGATGAACGTGGCGGCACCAGAGCGGGGACAGAGGGGCAGGCCGTAAGCGAGGGGATTAGAAGTGGCGAACGCTTCGGATTCGAGGCACTGGGGAGTAGACGCGGAGGTGGCCCAAGGCAGCAACGGGCAGAGCAGGAGGAGATGCAGGGCAGAGACCGCACGAGAGGAGGGGGACATGGCAGGAAGAGGAAGAAGACGTTGACTGTGTCCATCTCTTGGATGTTCACGTGTTTCCGTGTCGTCTGCGTTTGTGTTTAATAGAACCGACAGACACAGCACCCACGCCAAGTCCAGCTTCACCTCCAGCTCCATCAACTGTAGCTGGCATCGTCCTTGAAGTCATTACTGCTCTGGGTGCTCTTGCTGGAGTTGTTTTGTACTGCAGGAAGAATATTTACCAGTTGATTCCTTACCGTGATATGAAGCCAATGGGTGAATTATATACCGTTAAAAAAAGTGTATTTTTACATTCGAGTAGAGCAAACTCTTCCCTCTCGTGGGTTCAGCTATCGCGGTTTTGCAATTTCGTGCCATAGCTATTGAGGTACAGAGTTCGCCGATCGCACTGCTGTGGCTGGACCATTCGCGGTTGATCACGAGATTTCTGTACGCGTCGTGACTGCACTGCTCGCGATGATGCTGCTGCTGCCATGGAAGGACACGTGTGGTGCCATCTTATCTCCATCGTGTCTCAATCTTATCTCTGTCATATCTCCATCTTCTTTCTGTCTTGTCTCCATCTTATCTCCATATTGTCTCGAGTCTCTCGTCTCTTCTCTCAAGTGTCCCATTGTGGGTCCCGGGTCACGTGGTGTTTCCAGCCTAGAGTGAGGAGGCAGTGAGGTTCAGCCACCCGCGATTTTAATTTATATCGTGCGTTAGGAACCTTGAACCAAAGCCCATTTTTCCCATTTGTCTTCGAGTTTGGGGAAGGCGGATGTTCTGATTGCGGCTTTTTACTAGGAACTTAACCCCGGCGATGGGCAAGGGTTTGCTGTAAACTAAGTGCTAAATCTATGCACCTGTATTCTATTTTTGCAAGCTATAATGCACTTCATATACAGTTTTGTATGCACAAATTAAGTATATATTGATTTTGATTCGAATATGATATGTATTACTTCCCGAATGAGATTGATCTATTCAATTCATATGTACAAATGTATATTTAAAAATCGTAATGATTGAGTACTACTCTGGAAAAATCTTGATAACCCACATGCCTCCGTAGATGTAGATTACAAAGCCAATACGGCGATGATGAGTGGTTTTGGGGTTAATGGCAAGAATTTTACGTAGAACTCAGAAACCAACACGGGTCATTGTGATGGCTACAGTGACGACTGACAGGAAATGCAGGCATTCCACTTATAGCAACTCTGTTTACCAAGAACGCATCTCGAGCGCTATACGAGGTATGCCTGTGTAATAAAGGTCGTGGAAGCAACTTCTGGAATCAGGTTCTTTTATTATCTTTCGTTCACAGCTCTCATCATACGGACTCCTCTGCTATTTGACTCCTTCACGCTGTTGACAGACAGCGTGAGAGGGAGGGATAGAGACTGTCGCTACCATGTGACAGGCTCTGGACCCCTGCTCCTGCGTGGCTTCTCCCTTCGTTCGTTCCAGTTCTGACCACGTGTTGCCCGTCTCCCCCCCTTTTAATCCCTGGGTCACGTGGTGCCTTTCAGCCAGTCCTGGGTAACCTCCCTGGAATCTTCCAGATTACATCCTACGGTCCCAGGACCACGCCCCTAACTCGTCACCCCATTGGCTGTGGCTAAAGCCAGCAGATCCAATCATCTCCTTCCAGGTGTCACCTTCCCAATACGTCAGGGCCACGCCCCTACACCTCTCCCCATTGGTTATGGGCCTGGACCGGTAGAGCCAATCATTATAAACGAGGTGTGACCATTCAATCACCCAGGTATACCCTCACATTACAAATGTCAGTGACTTAGTTAAGTCTGGAATAGATTGGCGTTCTCTATTTTCCTTCTGTTTCCAGCAGCTTGTTTGCTCATGTTCAATTACTGCCAGGAGAGGCAAAGTACTGGTGGTTCTGTATAATTTCTGTTCAGTAAAGATATCTAAAGTGCTAACTTTACCCTCAATGTATTGTTAACTTTCATAATATGCACACAATTATTATCAATAACTTTGTTATTGGTGTTATTGATGATTAAAATCATAAAAACTAACTATATTTTATAAAATAAAAACTAACTATTTATATTTGACAATTTTTAAGATTTTATACAAACTTCGCCAAGCAAATAAAGCATCTTTCATCGCAATTTGTCTCCAAATTTTAAGAAATAACCGAGTTGAATTGCAATCATTGAAAAGCTTATTCTCTGGAGTAGACGTCTAGCTTAGTCATATCTGGATATTTACTTTGCTGCCATGGCAATAAGAGGGGGATCACAAGTGTAGTGGATTCAACTGAGTCGCAGACATACTGCTTGGAGGCAACACATTTATTTACACCAACACATTAACACAAAGTGGTGACTGCCCCTTTACCAGAAGCCAGCTATGGTGGTGGACCACCAGGCTAAACCACGCTAACCACACTGAGAGTAGCTACAACAGACCAGACCCCAGCTTGGGTCCAGCTCCACGTGTCTGTGAATCTTCTAAGAAGTAGAATGTAGATCTTCAGATGACGACAGCAACACTGAACCCTGGTCCCTGTGGTGACCCTGGTTTATGTCCTCCCTGGTCGTTGCTGGCCACGCCCTTGGCCACGCCGACCTTCGAGAAACCTCTCGACGTTTCTAGACCCTTCCCATTGGATCTCGCCCCGACATGTGACCACCCCCTAGCCACCACCTCGGGGCCCTGCGTAGACTTTAGTGGTCACGTGTCTCTCGGGGTCAACCAGAGTGCCATGGCCCACAGTAACCTCGTTCCTGCGGCCCGCACTCTCGCACCCCAACCTGTAGGGGTCAGCACTGCACGCAGAGCGTGGTGCCACTCAGCGCTGTCACTCAGCGCTCACCGAGCCCCCCTAGGGACGGTACTACATCAACGTGGACGGGGTGTCCGCGATGGCAATACCATCGCACGCCATGCCTCACTAGAGCCGGCATTACCCAGTGACATCCGCGATTTCGCTGCACACGGGATGTCCGCGATGAAAGTACATCGCACGCCATGCCTCACTAGGGCCGGCACCACACAGTGACATCTGCGATGTCACTACACAAGTAAAACTCTCAAATCTCATTGCTGCTAGCATCACAGTGCCAGAGCCAGCATTGCGATTTTCTCCAAATGGCATTTTGCATGCCGAGTTTGACAACTCATGTTTCATAAAAGGTAAAGCCACATAATTCTACATACTGCTTCCTACTTGGAATAGCTAGACATTTTCAGAGGGATTTTTTTAAATCTTTTGTCATTTTAATTTTATGTGGTTTTATGTCTAAAAAAAATAGGCGAAAATCTTGTTTTTTAACATGTGTCAAGTGTATTTTAACATAATTAACTGAAAGATCAATATTTTGAAGGGCACTCCCACAGTTCATGCTGTAGACTGTACATCAAAGAGGAGGTTTCCAAGTAAGATGTTGCCAGCAATGAATAAAATGATGCTGCAGCCCAGTACGAAGCTGCTGTGAATCAGTCATACAATGAGCTGTTCCTCTTCATCAGGATGGAGCTTTTTGGCAATCGTCAAGTGAAGCCAATAACCGACCTCACTTCTAGACTGGTTGCTTCAATGAACTCCCTTGGCATTGTCCAAGTCAGAATCAATCAAGAAGCACATAAGGCAAAAGCTGGAGAGTATTTTTTAAATCCTTTATATTAAGTTCGCTTGCTTGCTTGCGTGCTTGCTTGCTTGCGTGCTTGCTTGCTTGCGTGCTTGCTTGCTTGCGTGCTTGCTTGCTTGCTTAGGACCGTGCAAATCTTTCGGTCGTTTTTTAACCGACTTCCCGTGATCCAATCGAGCTGACATTTTCCACACAGACTCGTTGTGCCAGACAATTATTGTTCGTGAAAAAAAATTCCCAAAATTTTACACTTTTTAGGCAAAAAAATATGTTTTACATATATTCAAATAGAACTCATTCATGGCTTTGGCTGAACGTCAGAGTGTAAGAGCCCAGAGCGTAACCCCTCCACAGGCCGTGGCGGAGTAGCGCAGTTGGTAGTGCCCTCGCTTCCCATGCCAAAGGTCGCGGGATCGATCCCCGCGTCCTCCACAGGCGAATATATTTTTAAATCCTTTATATTAAGTTCGCTTGCTTGCTTAGGACCATGCAAATCTTTCGCTCGTTTTTTAACCCACTTCCCGTGATCCAATCGAGCTGACATTTTCCACACAGACTCGTTGTGTGTGACAATTAATTTTCGTGAAAAAAATAAATCCAAAATTTTACACTGTTTAGGGAAAACAAATTAAATATTTAATTACCAATTGCTTAATGGTGGCAGACAATCATCTGACCCATAGGTGGCAGCCATCTCAAGCCAGAGGACGAGAGGACTCTAGCCGCCAAGCATATAAAGGATTTATAGTGAAAAACTGTGTTTTTACGGGTTATACTTGTTGCTGGAGCCTTGCACATCTTCCCTGATGGGAAAGGAAAACTCCTCCTCGCTCCAGATACCCTGTCCATGAGGGAACTTGCCAAAGAAAATCAGTCTCTCAAAAGGGAGCTGCACACCCTGAAAAGTGTCGGTGCTCAAGATGTTATAGCTAAAGCAACCATCAAATTGAGCGAGGACATCAAGAGTCAAGATGTCCCTGAGGCCTTACTGCCTGAAGTCAACCCAGAATCAGATTGTCCTACCATTCCAGAGTCTCTCATTGTCTTGCGTTGCGATCAAAACGTTGTGATCTATTATTTTGTCTACCTACGTGACTTTACTGAAAGAACCAACGAGCATGTCTTCCTTTACTATTTACTCACAGGTGCTAATGATCCTGATCATGCATCTCATAGAGTTCAGCGGCTTCTGCAATAATTTGGCCATTGACAGTCTCAGCTTGCCAGAGAAGCTCGCCCTTTCTTCCCCCCTTCCAACCCAGCTTATATACATGCTCCAAGCACGTGTGCTGTTTCATTCAGACGCTGTCGCCTCGACAGACCTGGTTTTCACCTGTGGCCGAAACGTCGTGAGAATTGTTTTATTATGTTTTATTTTTATTATTCTATTACTTTCCTTCTACGTGACTTTACCGAAAGAACCAAGAATAAGAAAAATAACCTTGTTTGGTTCCTAGCACGCACGTCACAACAAGAAGACCAGCCAATAAGTAGCTGG